CCTGATCACCTTATCATCTCTTATGACGAGCACAAGCCCATACTCTTTTAACAAACATCCATTGTTCATTGTCGATCTGTTACCATGAAATCATGCAAACTATTTGAGCTAATAACTGACAAAGTTACTGGTATTTCTAAAAACATAAAACAATAGACATTATTTCAGGATCATTAGGAAGATTGAAGTGAGTTAGTGAGTTTAGTTTTATGTAGATATTAGCAATATTCCATCAATATCACGGTTTCACACACTCTACCCATGTAGAGAATCGAACCTGGGTCTTCGGCATGACGAGCAAACACTTTAATCACTAGGCTACCCCACCGTCCCTGATTGTCGTGAGAAAACAAGAAAATCCTTTATCCATGTAAAATCAAATTCATATCTTCAGTTATATATTAAGATAATAGAATGTACGTAAGCTAGCTGGGATAACATTTTCAACACGATTTTGGTTGTTGTTTAACACTGCACTCAGCAATATTCCAGCTACGGTCAAATCCCGATGAGTCGAATCGCTGGGGACCAAGTAATAAATTTGACTTATCGATGTATTCGAGACATAGGTATGTCTATGAGGGTAGAAAAAAAGATGATCCAGTCCTAATTCCTCCGCCTAAGCATTTGTTTATCTAATGATTTCCATATCACTAATAGGCGCACCTTATCAGTTCCAGTCTGATTAGCACAGACAGTGATTTCCGTAAAATCACTAATCTGACTTTTGAACTCACCTGTCAATGGCGGAAAGGTGTGAGTCGCGCTGGTTTGTTAATTGTATCAGTTTGCTACACCAAACAACTTCTCATTGACTGACTTCGGCTTATGTATACAAGATTGCTGTTGTTTGAATCTCATGGGACCAAATTTCCTTCTCGAGTCATCGTGTGTATTTATGAGACGAATTCGTGTAACCGGGAATCAAATGATGACAACTATAACAGGGAATGGTCGGGACCGACAGGTACTTCGAGTTATGCATAATAATCGAGATACCGGCATTCGACTCATCGGGATTAGACTGTATATGAAAATAATCCAGTCTGAACCAGACAATCCAGGATTAACATCATGAGCATCGATCATCACTTGGGATATGATGACATGTGTCAACCAAGTCACCGCCCTGACCGCCCGATCCCGTTAATCGCCTTTTACGACAAGTATGGTTGCTGAAGGCCAATTCTAACCCAGATCTTCACAGTTGGATTCTAGACATATCATGGCACACCACCAAGATGGAAGAAAGTTGCTGGGGCAGTCGGGTAGCCTAATTGAGGCGTTTGCTTGTCACGCCGCAGATCTGGTTCAATTCCCCACAGGGGTACAATGTGTGAGGCCCATCTCTGGTGTCCCCTGCCATGATATTGCTGTAATATTGCTAAAAGCAGCATAAAACAATACTCACTCACTTGGCTTCATCATCATGTGATCTCTGTCCATAATTATATTATTATCACACTGTCACGACTATTTAACATACCAATGTTAACCCATGTTAACTGTAATATTGCTGTCATATTACTGTCATGTTGCTAAAAGTGATATAAACCCAACTCACTCACTCATCATAATACTAAAAGACTTTCATTATGAGAGTCTGAGTCATGAGTGAGTGAGTGAGTGAGTGAGTGAGTTTTAGTTTTACGTCGCTTTTAGAAATATTCCAGCAATATCACGGCGGGGGACACCAGAAATGGACTTAACACATTGTGCCCATGTGGGGAATTGAACCCGGGTTTTCGGCATGACGAGCCAACGCCTTAACCACTAGGCTACCCCACCGCCCTGTCTGAGTCATGAAAACAGAACACCAGGTTAATCACTGTGACAGGCAACATGTAGCAAATTCGTCCTCCATAACATTGTAACATGGTCCACTATCTGAATCCCCATGCTAGATGTTTTCATTTCCTAAAGGCACTATTTCCCACCACATTTCTCTAAAAGTAAATAATGCATTTCTCTCAATAATACTTACTATCAGCCCTCAGGGAAGTTACCATATAATTTATTCAAAAAAATAAATTACTTATTTAGATTGTACGGAGCAATTGTTTACATTCCATATATGGCAAGTGTTCTCTGTTTGGTAGCCGTTTGCCTCGAAGTTTCAATTATCTATTTCAGGCAAGTCGTAAGGGATAATAAGTCTTTTATTGCATCAATAGGAAGCTAAAGTGAGTGCATATGCCCCAATATATATAATATAGGCCAAAATATTGTTGAAAATGTGGGACGTGCCTTTAAGCATTTTAAAACAAGACTGAGTGATTGAGTGAAATTATATTTTTTTTTAAAAGATTAAACACTATTTATTGTCCGTGTCATTCCTCTCTCTAAGGTGAAAAAATAAATATTTATAATGCTAGATTAACATATATATTCCTATAACACACACACACGTACACACATATATGTTCCAAGGAAAAAAAGCAGCCCCAGGAACGATCATTCTGACAATGCAAATCATAATTTCTTTATTGATATTTTAATTTTTTATATTATTATTCTATGATAAGGTCGGTTTTCTTGTAGTATCAGTTGTAAAGAAAATAGTAAAGTTTTTATCATTGTGCATAAATATAAATGATGAACCATTACCACAGTTAATAATTCATTTTTCTCTATGAATTTTTATGCGGCTTTTCTGACACGAGTAAACTTGTCTTGTGTGATCAGCAGTTCTACCAAGTTGACGGATGATAATGTTGACACGATTTATGACTAACAATGTCTTTATAATATTGCTATTACGAAGATTCGATGAGATCGTTATACCATTGTCAAGCAAGACTGAATGGGAGCACAAAACTTCAACCAACAAATCAGTATTTGTTTAATATAGACAAACTTTTTGGATAACAACTTCTTTATTTTGTGAGTGCAACATTTTGATACAGATTCTTGTACCGTTGTCAAGCAGTATTTTTTTTTTTGTTTGCTTGCTTAACACCACATTCAGCAATATTCCAGCTACATAAGAGCAGTGTGCAAATAACTGTGTCTGAACCAGATAATCCAGTGACTGACATCATGAGCATACATCTACGCAACTGGGATACAACTTTGATTTGGTTTGGTTGTTGTTTAATGTCACACTCAGCAATATTCCAGCTATAATCGAGTCTAGACCAGACAATCCAGTGATCAACATCATAAGCATCGATCTATGCAATTGGGATACGATGACATGTGTCAACCAAGTCAGCGAGCCTGACCATCCGATCCCTTCAGTCGCCTCTTACGACAAGCATGGGTTACTGAAGACCAATTTTAACTTGGATCTTCACGGGTCAACTGGGATACTGCTCATTTATTTTTTTTCACTTTATTTCTTAATCGCACTGGTACAGTTTTATCCTTCATACACATCACTATTTCAAATACATAGCACAATTAAAAAAACAAGCATAAGTCAGATCAAATAGATTATGTAAATAAGTGGTATATTGGATACTGCTCATGCTGCTGATCACTGGATTGTCTGGTCCAGACTCAATAGCCGAAATATTGCTGAGCATGGCGTAAAACTAAATTCACTCACTCACTCAACTGGGATACAATGACATGCATCAATCAAGTCAAATCAGTAAATCAGACGTCTCAATCCATATCACCAACTGCCCTAGTGACAACAATTGGGAATTACACTTAAACAAACTGGCAGATGAAGTCCACATTTGTTGTCACAAGCCATCATTTAACAGAGATCAAAGCTGTTACAGTAAAGTACACTTAGTAATGACATGCTTGGAACCAACGGACGGAAATTACAAACTATATGGTTGTGTCCAAACCATGTGCTGTATATGTTCGTTAAACATGTGTACACAAAACAAACTATTGTTGTGGTCAAAATTTTTGTGGTCCCTTTAACTTTACTGTCCCATCTGCCTTCTTTGAACTCATGAATAAAAGGTTTTACAACCTTAATCTGGTTTACTGGCTGCAGCAGGAGGTGGGGTAGCCTAGTGGTGCAAGCATTCGCTTGTCATGCTGAAGACCCAGGTTCAATTCCCCAAAAGGGTATTATGTGTGAAGCCCATCTCCTGTGCCCCCTGCCATGATATTAATGGTATATTGTTAAAAGTGGCATAAAACAATACTCACTCACTTGGCTTCATCATCATGTGATCTCTGGCCATCAGGTAGTAACAATATTATCACTGTCATTACTATTAAACCAACCCACGTTAATCTCTCTAAACATACCAGTGCCTTGAGCATGCCTTAGTTGCGTGGCTATGTGCGCTATATAAATATCCTATGATGATGATAATTTTATAAACATGTCAAGGTATGCAAATTGTTATTGTTAATCCTTCACCTAGTATCATCTTGTACCTTGTTCATTATTTCATCTTTCCTGACAACGATATAATGACATATTCCGGACCATTACTCTCGCAGTATAAAGTAGCTACAATGCATACAATGTGTGACTGTGTCAATATACTGGCCTAACATGTCAATGAACATTTCTGTGTGATGACACAAAATGTAGACCTAGGTCACAAATAATTTCATTCATAAATGACATGATATAACACGCGAATAAAAGATTATTTCATTATTGATCGGCCTAATTAGCTCCAACCGAAGGAATGCAAGACATGAATTCCAGTCGCATATCGATAATGCCATGATCAGCACATGTATACAAGATGCATCGGCTGTCGTACGTATATGTGTCAGCTGTAAACAAACCTAGAAAACATGGACAGGTATCGGTGTTGTATGGCACATTTTTAATTCTAATTCCTAGCATTCGAAACATTTTTTACGACTTTAATGAACTACACCTTCAGACAATTGGACAACTGACGAAACATGCGGAAGGATCGGGCTGACGCGAAATGTACACACCTTGGAATGCGAAATAGACCCGTTGTTGGATTCTGCTCTCTGACACAAGTGACACAGAAAGACAATGTCAAGAAACTTGGTGGAAAGACACGCTGCGCTAATGTGAATCGTAACAAAACTACACTCACCTGAAAACACACAGAGATGATTGTAACTTGGCATACACTCAAGCTAACGTCGCCATATCACAAACGACCTTGACCTGAAAATAGGGTCATGGGGTCAGCGATGTGTAAGGTCACGGGAGTGCTACAGGGCAAAGCGAACGAAGCACTCGCCGTATTTATTGATTGCGCTCTTCGTTCAGACTATGTCTGTAATTAACAGAGCGACACGGCAAGGCAAATGGGTTATTCATTTATATATTCATTTTAAGTTGGAGTAAAAGTAACAAATAGGTATTTCCTAAGTTTCGGTTGTGACATACACCGGCATTCAACACTTGGTTTCGTAGATTGTTGCTCCAGTTCATATAAATAAACTCGTATTACAGCCAAGGCAAGCACACCTTGGTTTAGTGCAAAGACGTCTAGTTATATGCTGGATTAATTGTTGCTAAACGGAGGCCTACACTCTAGCTAATTATAACTCATTTAAACCAGCACTTGTAATATTGATAAAAACAGCCGTATTCGTCGCGAATATACACTCTGTACCTAAATCGATCGATTGCTGTGTAACATGAATGTAAAACAACTTACCATACTGTGACCTACTTATGTTTTGTTTACGTACAGATAGAGTTCAACATAGCTGCCTGTGGGAAGTATTCTACCTTTTTATCTGCTCTCTATCTTTTCTTCCTTGTTTGATTAGTCAATAAAATTCACAAATTTATCAAATATCATAATGAATTGTTTCATCCTCTATAAAAGGGTCTCTGAAATAACAAAAATAATATTTAAAAAATAATAATTTAGTGACATACTAGAATTTGATATGATTAAAAAGCGTTAGAAATTACATTGGATGTGCTCACCTTGCCAAAATGGTTTGTGTACTTGTTCGGTTTTCCTGGTTTAGTAAATATCCGGTTCACGTAGTCCCCTGGAAGGTCGGTGGGGTAGCCTAGTGGTTAAAGCGTTCGCTCGTCAAGCCGAAGACCCGGGTTCGATTCCCCACATGGGTACAATGTGTGAAGCCCATGTCTGGTGTCCCCCGCCATGATATTGCTGGATTATTCCTAAAAGCGGCGTAATAATAACAAACGCACTAACGTTATTTGATATTAATGCTTTCAACGTTACGTTGTTTCACGACCTTCTAGTGATTTTTGCATCCAGTGACACAATCCTGTATGAAGTTTATTTGATTATCATATCCAAGTTTAAAGTGAGTTGCATCCAGTGTGGGTGTAGTTACCTATTAACCCAATTGCATTTGAAGAAAATAGGCCCCACATGACAGCCCTTCAGCGGTATGAAAGTAAACAGGCCAAAACTTGAGAGCAGGGCTCAGTAATACCCCCGACGTGGCTCCCAACTTTAGCTGTAGGCTACAACAATTAACAATGATTATTCTTGACTAAAATACAAGATTGTGTTAGATTTTGCCCTGCTCCTTTCCCATAAACAAAGAAGCCATTACCCAAAGGAATTCATTGAATCATTGTAAAGTTACTGGTTGAACAAATTTTGGTGTAGCACTTTTCCCCTGAGGTCAAAATGTGTAATATTTGTGATAATTTTGATAAATTGAATATGCCCACCAAAAACGTGCACCCCATCTCTCCTTCTGATGTGTACGGTGATCCCCAAATTTGAAAACAATCCTTTCAAATGTGTTCAAGTTATTGGTTCCCAAAACAAAAAAAAATCACATGTTTTTCAAATATGTAGATTGACTTCACTCTTTCAAAAATTACAAAACTGGAAATGTGCCCATTAATGTCGAGCGCTAGACAGGGACCAACAAGTACCATAATTTAACGTCTTTTGGTATTCTGCTTTAAATGTGGATGGTGGTGTTTGCGCGATTCAGCGCATAATTTTCGAGTGAGTGAGTAAATATTGCTTAACGTCGCTCTAGCAGTTTTGCAGATATTCTCGGTGAGTAAAGTTTGTGGAAGATAGATAGAGACAGTGTGCCAGTGCTATATCGGAATATTTACGTACTGTAGTGAGAACAAAGGGTTCAGCTTTGCCTCATCCTTTGTTAAAAATACCCGAAATTATTACACAGCATATTAATTCATCCTGTTTAAAACAATTGTTAGTGAGTATATTTTAATCACAACACGCAAAATGAAAATGCAGATGTAAAGGTAATTCGTGCATTAGTTGATATTTATGCACAGCGCTATGCGCCCCACGTGATTGGTTTTGGTTTGAGATATACATGTATACTGTATGCACGGGTAATATGACATGAGCAATAGTTGAAAAGATATAATAAAACTTTTGAAAGAAACCTCGTTATCTCTGTCTACCACACGTATAAGTATATACCTACATACGAAATACGTACTTCATTATGAGAATATTTTAATAACCCAACTTAATTCTTAAGTTGTTATAGTAAATACATCTTTCTTTATCGGTGAACATCAGGTTTACAATTATTGGTTTTCAGCAACTCATGATTGTCGTAAGAGGTGACTATCGGGATCGGGTGGTCAGACTCGCATGTCATGACACATATCGTATCTCAGCTGTGTAGATCGATGTTCTTAAAGTCATAAAGTCTAGCCCAGACTCGATTATTTACAGACCGCTTTCATATAGCTGGAAAATTGCTGAGTGCGGCGTTAACAAACGACAAGCAAACGAAACGAGAGGGGAAGGCACTCTCTGATATAATAACAGTTAGAAAGATCTAAAAAACTATTAAAAGAAACAGTGTAATGCTATGTGTACATACGAATTATATAAATAGCTGTGAATTTTTTTTTGAAACATTCCTAACGGTAAATTATGACACTGAATGCGGTTGTGGTAGTCGGTCACGGCGATCAGAGGGAGGCAGGTTCCGTCATATGTACGCAGACCCAGTTTTCGTCCAACCAAGTGTGAGGACCTTAGGCCAGTGTCAATAGTTGACATGCCACGCTTCAAGAGTAAACATACAGGACCCAGTTTCACAATGCAGTCTTAGTGCTACAGCTCTCTTAAGTCTGTGTTAAGCTGTTGGGGTTACGGTCACCTTACGCCAAGATCGCTGTGCAGACCGAACCCCAGTTCAAGCATTAGAGATGTGACTCGCATAGTGAATTATGCTTAATGGTTATATAAAAATAAGCACTCACATTGGTGTTGATATCAGTTAATTTTAATAATATCTACTGACCACGTTAATTTCCAAATAATAATAAGGCAGTGTAACTTTTTCTTTGAAAAAAAAGTAATAAGAAAGCGTTGCTAACTTTACCACTGTAGATTTATATATCAACAGCAAAATTCACATGCAATTTCGAATTTATGTACAATACCGAGTATATTGTGTACAACATGTTAAGGACAAAGGAATTTAACAAGTGTATTTCGTTTAATTAACCCCGACTTGTGAACTTGATTCCGGATTCGGGTCGAGGAAAGAGGAACCGTCATTCCTCAATGGCTGCTATAAGTGAGTGAGTGAGTTGACGCCTCTCTTAACAGTTTTGCAGTTATGTAAGCTTCTTGAATGCTCAAAACAATGCAGGCCTCAGACGTTCGCAACTGAGAATGAACGGTCTGGAAACATAAGAAGGGAACCAGGGATTCGAACACACGGTCAAAGCTAACATGGCATCGGCAACCCAAGGGACGCAACTCTGCACGGCTTATTGCTGAGGCTTTGGACCAATTGGAATTTCGATTGTATATAAAAAAGTAGAGCATTTGTATAGCGCCTTTCCAGGCTAATTATCCTGCTCAAGGTGCACAAAATGTCAATAGAGTCAAGAGAAAGCTTCACGGAAGAGATGAGTTCTTTTTAGACTTCTGAATTTGGGATAAATAGAGCAGGGACGGATGTGGGGAGGCAGATCATTCCTCTCTTTAGCAGCAGCGTAAGAGAAGGAACGTTGTCCAAATCGTGTGAGCTTGACTTTGGGCACTGTCAAGAGGTTCTGGTTTTCTGATCGAAGTGGTCCATATGGACAATAAGGTTGTATCAGTTCTGAGAGGTAGACAGGAGCTGAGTCGGTCAAACATTGATGAGCCAGGCAAAGGATCTTGAGGTTGATCCTGTGCTTGACAGGAAGCCAATGGAGTTCTTGTAACACTGGAGATATGTGGTCGTATCTGTGACTCTGAGATGTGATGCGAGCAGCAGTATTCTGTACACGCTGTAATCGATCTGTGAGGCATGAAGGCGAGCCCGCCAAAAGACCATTGCAATAGTCTATCCTTGAAGACACAAGACTACGACAAAGAGTGACAGCAGCTTCCTTGGTAAGAAGTGGTCGGACTCTGCCAATATTACGTAGGTGAAAGTAGCAGATCTTGGCAACGTAATTCACATGGTCAGCCATATTCAGTTCTTGATCAATAATGACGCCTAGGTCCTAACGGCCTTATTGTAACTTAAAATAATCTTAGCCTACAATCGCTTTGTGCAAGTGGATGGTGATTGTAGCCGAAGCTTAAAATCGCGGTCTTAAGGATTTACAATAATTGTAGCGCTAATATCGTTCTGTGCAAGTGGGCCCTGGATCGTACGTGTTGTGTCCACATGACCGGCATATCGCCGAAGATCTGCCACGTATATCGTAGAATTGTTTTCTCATGTTCCACATGTACTGCCACATACGTAATCCGGAATCACGTTCACACACTGCATCCGGGTGCTGTGGGAATGTGAACAACTGCGCATCACCGACTTACTCATATATATGTCAGTGATTGAAGTAAATGCGGAAACAGCCTTCACGCGTCATTAAGGAAATGATGATATTCCAGAAACGCCCCCCTCTTTCCTGTATATGTTTTTGTTTACGTTTAGGTTACGATTTTCAAGTTACATCTAAAATGCAACATGTATGTCTTTGTGTGCGTGCGCGCGCGCGCGCGCGTGCGTGTATGTGTGTGGATTGAGAGAGAGAGAGAGAGAGAGAGAGAGAGAAGAGAGAGAGAGAGAGAGAGAGATGTGACCATGTTTCACGCAAGGTGTCTGTTGACGGTTGTTGACCTATGAGAATGCCCGTATGTTTGTGTGTGTGTGTGTGTGTGTGTGTGTGTGTGTGCGTGTTAGTGGTAGTATTTTCACGTACATATCATTTTATCTCCATGGGTCCAGTCAATGGGTATTTTTATACCAATGTGAGAACTATTCCTCAACAAACTTCCAATGCTAATGTGCTGCCCAAAGTGTTTCTCATCTCGCCCAAGAAAATAATGATGCAGAAAATCACAATCTATCCGTATTTGAGGGACAGCAACTGTTTGCAACACAGAACAAAATCTAAACCGTCATTCCATTTTGTACTACACTGTACAATGTACTCTTCATCAAAGCCAATTTCTCTGCTAAGTTCAAGAAAACATTTCAGATCTTTCAATTCTTAGAAAACTACTTAAATTATTATCAGTTTGACACAAACCACAAACCCTATCTTCAACAGTTACGTCTGGCAGGAAAGCGCAAAAACTGAAAATTAACATTCCCGAACAGTATAAGAGAACATTTTGTGCCAATATTTCAATACATGTATTTCCGTCTTGAAAACTTGAAATCTAAAATATAAAAACATCAGCAATAACAAGAGGAACAACTTATACTGTTTGAGTTTTAAGCAACATTTTACAGTTGAAATTGAATAACTTCTCAGATAACTTCCTGGAAATGAGTGAGTGAATATAGTTTTAAGCCGCTTTTAGCAACATTCAGCAATGTCATAGCGGAGACAGCAGAAATGGGCTTCACACCCTGCACCCATGTGAGGAATCGAACCGAGTTCGTTTGTGTGACAGGCGAACACTTTAACCACTAGGTTACCCCTCATAGCCCGTGGCACGAAATGATCCCTTCTCCCGATTGATGATACGACCGACGCGTTCCCTTGATTGGTTGGTTGGTTTGCTGTTTAACGCCGCACTCACCAATATTCCAACGATATGGTTGCGGTCTGTAAATAATCAAATCTGGACCAGACTATCCAGTGATCCACATGTTAAGCATCGATCTACGCAATTGGGATACGATGACATGCGTCAACCAAGTCAGCGAGCCCGACCACCTGATCCTGTTAATTGCCTCTTACGAGAAACATGTGTTGCTGAAGATCAATTCTAACCAGGATCTTCACGGGTTAATCTTCTTGGAAATTTGTTGCTTAATGCATGTGTAACGTGGGATGTCAGTTCGGATCTTGTCTGAGGTTTGCACTCAGATAAATAAATAACATTGAAAAGCTTATGAATTATGTACTTTCATTTACACATGATTTCGACTTTCTGGATCTGAAGAGCTAAAAAACTCAACAAACGTAAAACTATCCTAATAGCAAAAGTACTGATTTAGTTTCAACACTTTTTAAGTCCCGAACCGAACGCTGAATGTCTTATCTTACCGTAAATATTAAAAAAACCCGCCAGTTTAGCTGACATAGAGGAGTGACCCAGGAACAATAGGAATACTATTGCTACAAAACAACGCCAATTTCGGACAAAAGCCGGTACATATGACAGCAATACATAATAAATATGTTCAGGAAAGAGGTACCGCCTCCGTGGTGTAGTGGTTAGAGCGTCCGCCCGGAGAGCGGAAGGTCCCGGGTTCGATCCCAGACCGCGTCATACTTGTTGGTCCCTGCCTGGCGCTCGGCATTAATGGGTACAACAAGGACTGGTCGGCTCGGAGTCAGTATAATGTGTCTGAGTGGGGTATTCATGCTTCACTGCGATATGGTATCTCAGTGGGCTAGCACTATAAAACCAGCTTAAGTCTGGGCTAGTACAAGCAGCCGCACATACACATACACACACATGCACGTGGTCATATGAGCGTAATATTCTCAAGCACGACATTGAACCCAATTTCACCTCACCTCAGGAAAGGGTACAGCCAATGTGCTCTTCAAACTGAAGCGTACGTAAAATGACCTGTTCAAGTGTCTTCAGCGAATACTTGAAACCAAGAAATAACATCGCTTTCAAAAATTGACACGGCATGCATTTCTCTTTCAATTAAGCAGAATTTCCACAAGCCACAATTTCCATCGCTAATGATTCGCTTGAGGCGCCTTTCCGTCTGAACTATTTTTTATTGCCTAAAACAGTTCAAGATGTCGAGTTTCATGGGTGAGTCAAAGTTGTAAGCTGCTTCTAAACCGGAATGAACTTGAGTCTAATCCTTGATGACAGGCCACATTATACGGAGAACTGTCACTGTGATTACGAACAACTCATAAACACGGACAGATTGAAAAATGCTCTTTGCCTCAAAGGAACCAGTTTTGTCTGTTTGAATGTCTGCCGTGTCTGTTTTGTCTGCCTGATTTATGCTTAATGCAAAGAGCTTCTCTTTGTTGTGTTTTATAATGAGAGTACCTCAGAGTTACAACGCCAACGGGCTCAAGAAATGAGTCCCACATTGTTATAGGAGCCAGGACTGAACACATACCGAAACAATAAGTTCAACATTTGAGCGCCCAAAGGGTCAACTGGTGCAAAGGTTGAGTGTGTTCAAAACGCAAATAAAAATCCATAGGGCAGTAGATTCAAGGATCGCGTGCTAACAGTTAGTGAGAGAGTTTAGTTTTACGCCGCTTTTAGCAATATTCTAGCAATATCACGGCGGGGAACACCATGCAGAAATACATTGTACCCATGTGGGGTATCGGACCCGGGTCTTCGGCGTGACGAGTGAACGCTTTAACCACTAGGCTATCCCACCGTCCGGCGTGCCAACAAGGTCAACATGGCATGAACTGCTCCCTGGTCCAAGCGGTTGTATAATATATATATGAATAATAAAATACAGGTTAGTGAGTGTTGTTTTACGTATCTGTTATATTCCAGAAATATATCACGGCAGGGGACGCCTGGAATCAGCTTCACACAAACTACCCATCTTGGGAATCGAGGTTTGGGGTCTTATCTTAGGATATTCAATATACATATTGGAAGGCCTATGGAAAGACTGAGTAAACTACGTAGTAGTCAGCCAGATTCCAGGAATATGAACGCCGTCAGTTGATAGCCACTCACTCACTTAGTGAAACTAAAGGCTGCTTGCATGGAAATTCACACATTAGAATGCCAGTACTGTGTTCTCCTATTTTTTTCAGGGACAAGGGGACTAGCCTTAGTGGTTAAAGCATCCGCTCGTCACGCCGAAGACCCAGGTTTGATTCCCCACATGGGTACAATCTGTGAAGCCATTTCTGGTGTCCCACGTCGTGATATTGCTGGAATATTGCTAAAAACGGCGTAAAGCCATACTTACTGGGGGCGGTGGGGGATAGTAGCCCTAGTGGTTAAAGCGTTCGCTCGTCACGCCGAAGAACTGTGATCGATTCCCCACATGGGTACAATGTGTGAAGCCCATTTCTCCCCAACATCACGCCGTTATATTGCTGTGCGATCGTAAATATCCAATGCAATGAGCAAAGCGACGATGTCTATAGTTATGACATCACAAAGTTATGTGACGTCACAAAGCTATGACGTCATAGAATGTTTCCAAGTCGGACAAGACAGAAGGGTCATTAGCAACTGTGTTGATCTTTACGGCCTCACATGCGGTTTATCAGCTCTTCAAAATGAAAGCTTTACAAGTTGAAGGTTTGGGAGGAAGGGATCCCCCGTGTATAGCGACGGGAGGAGACGCCCCTTGGAGACAGTCGGGGGTACTGAAGACTATCAACGCCATCTACAAGGTAAATAACAGAAACGCTTTAATCCTTTTGTCCTGCATACTAGTAAGGGTATGTTATATGAAGCAAACGCGAGGTCTCATCTCTATAGTACGGCACTCGTTTGTCCGGACACCTTACAAGTCGGATGCACATACAAGTTACTACAATGAGTTAGACAACAGCAATCTATAACAATTCGGGGATTTGTTATTCGTAACTAATTCAATAGGGACGTTACTATTCGGATTGACAGGGTTTTATAGCTAATTTGGACATTTGTCTTAAAGAAGCTATGATTGAGACCTGGCGTGAACTGCAATATTACATTATATAACTGGTCATCAAATGATCTCCCTATACTAAACCAATCTTTATTTGAACAATTGTATTATTGTAATGGTAATTGACTAAAACAACATATATATGTTCAAAGAAATTTCTGCATCTCAACCGATCACTGCTGAAGGTAGGAAAGCTATATCAGAAAATGTTTCAATCTGTCATGTGTGTATATTGTATTATTTTTAGGTTACTCGAAGAGAAATTCAGATATGCTCTGAAATGGCCAGAAATGAGAATAATCTGTGGACCAGAAAGGACGCCCGCTCACTGAGTGAAAGGTAAGTGGAAATTTTAACGCAAAACTCCGGTCGTTATAGCAACAATTGTGATGG